AATTTTCAATGAATTTTCAAAATAATGAAAATTGTTGCCACCTGCTTGCTATAAATTGGTATATAAATAATGTTTCTAGCACTTAATAAGCTTAGACTTACAAAATAATTCAGTCAGTTAGAGAAATGAATTACGACAGGTTAAATTTATACGAATTACCTCATTTATCTCAGTTCCTCAGCATTATTAAGTTTTCAAATATACAAAGTAAATGTTACGAATGAAACAAGCATTTCAATTATTTATATCACATAAATCTTAACATGATTTTGGTTCACATAATAATAAATTTGAGGTATGAGGCTACATAAAGTCAGTAGCTTAGACAGTGTCATTAAAATTGTGTTAAGTTAAACTAATTTTGTGGATGTGATCTGAAGAAATCAATTGAGAGACCAGCATTTTAGCAGCAATATTTATTACTGACCATAATATTGATTCAAATTTGAAAATAGTAGTCCAATTATGTCTAAATGAAAGTGTCGAAATATGATAAATGAAATAATATGTACATGCCTGTGAGACATGTAAAACGCAACCTGATAATGACTGAAACCTTCAAATATGTCATCCCTTGGTTGATGAATCGGCTGTTTTAATGTTGCTCTGTTGTAATACAACTCAGTGTTAGTAATTGCCATCATCTTTGTTAGATGAAATTTGCTTGAACATTTTCAGTGTATTAATGACTGAAACGGTATTATATGTAATTGATTAGAAAAATAATGAATATGTCCTTTTGATCCGAACTGTAGACCTTACCATCATTTAATATCCCTTCGAATTTTGTTTTGATAATGATACTTCAAATTCAGCCAATTGTTGTTCAACTTGACGTGACTCTGCCGTTTTAACACTTCATTATGTAAATTTTATTGTATAACTTATTCATAAGATGTTTATTTCGATGATATCAAGTTGGGCAATATAACTGTAGATTCAAAAACGAACCCTAAAAGTTAGTTTTTACTAACATTAAAATCGTTTAAAACTTAACGCAAATTCAATAAAAGAAACAACGCGTATTAAGTAATGTTGTACACTTTCCCGATTATATCTATTATATTACGTTTGGAATTGGTGCGGAATTTATTGGATATGTATTATGAGCCGTTGAATTCCAAAACCTGTCTTATCTATAATAAACGATTTTGAGAAAAACCCAAAAAGATTGTATAGAATTATTGAATACCACATTTGACCCATTTAAAAAAATTTAGTGCGCTTAAAATTTTGGTCCGTTGGCTACATCGTATAGTTTTGTTAATAGATTTTTAACCCACTGGCTTTTTTCTATTTCAAGGTCTTTTTCTATTCATTTTAAAACGGTTGAATACTTTACAGTATTCTTCTGCTTCAACAGTTTCCATCTTTTTGATAATCATTTCTATGCTTCCAAATATACGATTTGTAGGTCATTTACATACGTTAAAGTCATATTTTTATTTTACCTCTGATAACTATAACAAAATAGGGCAACGGATGATAACGGCGAAAAATCTTGATGCGTAGGCAATAAAATAAGGCAGAATGGCCAATACATACCATGAAATTGTGCAGTTACTACGACTAGTGAGGTGATCAGGAACTGTAGGGAACAATTTTTTAAAACAATCTTTCAGGCAGGGAACTAAAGAACTACAAATTCAATGGGAATAGCTTAGTGCTAACGAGATTGGAGCTACAATTTTCTGAGACGCTTTTAAACGTGATTAAAAAAGAAGCTTAGTATCTGTCCAAATATACAATGCTGAAGAGACCGGCCTCTATTGACGTGCATGCCCACGTTAAATATGGGATTACAGTTTTGTGTTACTCAAATACTACTGAAGAAGGAAATGTAAAATTAACTGTGCTTTAAGCTTTAAAATGCAAATCACGTATTGCAATACCAATACTGTGATATTGGTTGCATACTTGGAATGATGACGTCGGTTACGATAATTAATTAACACATACATACAGTGTGTTAATATAGATTACAGTGTGTTAGATAATTTATAGATATACGTACAGGCTATCATATATATTTTTTTATTTTCTTTCATTAAAAGTGGCTTTTTAGTTCACGCACAGTGCTCATAACTTTTTTGTTTTATTAGTTTGGGAACTATAAATGGAACTATTATAATGCATTATATCTGTACATATGCTGTAATCTCAAGTACCATAATAATAAATATTGTGTGTCCATACGTAAATTATAATAGATGGAGGTTGAATAAATATTATTGTTATTTTATTAATATAATGAATATATTATTTGATGTTAAACTCGTTTAATAGTTACGATTATTTGTTTAATAATACACATATGTTTGAAAATTATAATGACGATTATCGCATAAATGTCATGTCTAGCCGAAAAACACAGACAAATGTTGAAATGAGTAAAAGTGTAATAAAATTACATAATAAAGGTAGTATAACAGTACTTATTATTCAATACTAAATTTTATGTTGGCTGTAATGGACGAGTTTCGCAAAAAATGACATCGATTTTTAGAAAATGGTGATCTTTATAAACAAGTCGAAATATATTTGGTTAAATTTGGAAAAAATTAAGTACAACGTTGCATTTCAAAAATAGTCATGGTCCGCCACAAATAAATGCATAAAATAAATAAAAGAATACATTCTCCACCATACTACAGACAAAACCCTATTGAAGATGTATGAGATTATTTAGAAAATACTTTAAGGAAACACAACATTAGTAGCAAAAAAATCAGTAAATTATCAGTAAGTTGGATACCTAGTTGTTCTAAAAGCGAATGGATTATCAACGAAGTAATAACTCTTTGATTCATTTAGTGAGGTTGGGAAGGTAAAATAGCGACTTTAAAGAATTTGTTTATAAATTCGCTTAAAATAAATAACTTTAAGTACATAATCAATATAATTTGACATTACAGTAAAACCTCGATTTAACGGATCAATACGGGGAACGCAGTGTTTGTTATAGCTCAATAAAAATATACAACAATCTAGCGCTGAATAACAAATAAAACTAGACTAACACTAACACTAGTTCTACTTATTTAAGGTGATATTTCTGCATTCTTGAAACATTTTCTAGGTGTGTTGTCATAATTACTGCTTTTATAACCAGATTCTGGATGATATTATGTAAAGTATTGACAGCTATTGGAAGAAACCAGGAGCCAGTAAACACGTAAGACATTAAAATCAATATGGAGCCATTGCAAACCCTTAAAATCAATCATAACGCATTGACGCCGAATGAATGGCAGAATATTAGCGAGAATGGACAACATGAATGAGAGTTTTTCAAATATAAAATATGGTCTCAGTGAGCAATCATCTACAGACCAAATTAAGACCTCAACCAATAGATGGTATATTAAGGATGATCATAACGTAGAAAGTGTTGATAAGTCAATATCTACCTTTACAGCGATGTCCTTGAACGCGTCGATCTCTTAACTTTAAAGTTACAGGTTTGTGTACAATTTCTTTGATTACCAATCTTTAACGATCTTATTAATGTTTTTGTATGCGTAAAGATAAGGAAACATTCGGGTTTAGCCGCACGTTTCTCAAGACGGCTAAACCAGAATGATTCTAGTTCTAGGTGTCGTGTTAGTTCTACTGATAGTGTTAGTGCAAAACCAGAAGTAACACTAGACCGAGAACTAGAAACATTTGGGTTTTGCCGCACCTTTCTCAAGACGGCTAAACCCGAATGATTCTAGTTCTACGTCTTGTGTTAGTTCTAGTGATAGTGCTAGAACAATGCTAGAACTAACACTATACCTAGAACTAGAATCATTCGGGTTTAGCCGTCTTTAGAGACGTGCAGCTAAACCAAAATGATTCTAGGTCTAGTGTTAGTTCTACATAGTAACAGTTCTAGTTTTAATTGTTATGCAGCGCTAGATAGTTGTATATTTTTATTGAACTAAAAGTAGAAGTAACACTAGACCAACAACTAGAATCATTCGTGTTTAGCCTCTACTATTAAGCTATGTGTCATTTTATGTGGGACAGTGGAAGTGCATAGCATTTATAGCATTTATGTTATATGAAATTCCTGGTATATGAAAATATAGTGCAGATCAACATGGGTTATTAAGGATGAGTGTTTTACTTTTATTAATTATTTAAAGTAGGAATAATGTTTTTATTGCACTTTCCTATTTTTTTTTATTTAAGTGGATTGGGAAAGAATTTTCTATATAAGTTTTAAAATAGAAAACAAGTCTGAGATTACATTGCCAAGTTTAAAACAAACTACTTGAAGTTACGATTGAATCATAGATATTGGATATCTCAGCAATCGTCTTGAGAGTGCAACGAATAGAAACCGCTTGATTAGGCAAATTTAATTATCGAATCGGTCCGGTCTTAGATAAAATCACTACGGGACCGAGCTTCCATCGGAGCGAATAAAACTTGCGGGCGCAAGAAAGTACTTTTCACTCGACCTACTATCTTTGAACTTCTGCACTATATACACGACGTTTAGAAAGTTAACCGGGCGCCTTCACTCCGAATAAAAAAAAAATCTGATAATAGAAACGATTTTTCGTTTCGTTTTCGGTTACTAAAAATAGGAGTTATTAAATTTTACACATTATAAATTAATCTCGGTTTATTATTGTTCGCGTTTTAATATCCGGATTTTCAATTAATTTTCTTGAAGATGTTTAATTTGTTTGTTTATACATATATACATAGAATGGTTGGGGAAAAAATAAATTTGAAAAGTTTTTTTTAAGTGTAAGTAAGTAACATCATCACGTTTAAAGTGATCGATCAGGTTTTTTGTATCTTTCTTCGTCTGACGGTGAGAGATGTCTCATGTATAAAATTTTTTTTATTCGTTGTTTCTATTTCCCGTGGCGGGCACGGCATCGGGAGGGCCGTTGCCGAAATTCGCCGACGAATTTTGTTACTGCACGTCCTTCACTCGGCGAGCACGTGGTTCATTTCGCTTGGTAACCGTCTGATTTCAGTCAGTTGTAGCCTTCAGCTCAGTCAGTAGCCTTCGTTTCTCGCTCCGTGTCCCGTACAGTTACATAAAAGGGGCTTTCGCCAGACGAAAATTTGTTCGCGATTTGTTATGGTCATGTGACACGCATCGCGTTTTCCACGAAGTGACACTTTCGGTTCGCCGACAACGTTTCAATTCGAAACTATCCCCCCGCAACTTTTATTATTTAATTTCACGGATTTTCTTTTTACGTCGATGTGCTCATACATGAAAATGGACACGTGGATGCAAGATGTGGTACGTAAAATTAAATTTTAATTAATTAACTTTTTATCCTGGGAAATTTTCGCTATTTATTATATTCATTTTTGGAGGGAAAATCGAAATCTTCGTTTCCGAGTTGCTAAGCGAATTGCGGCCTCCAAACGGGATGTTTTTAGAATCGACGATCGTGTATGGTTAATGTTACTCGGTTATGTTTTATTTTCGGTTTCTGCCGTACAGCCGTGACCTAAGTCATTCTTCGCAACGCGATCTCCAGCCAAAAAATTGCTGTTAAAATAAAAATAACGTTCCCTCTCTGCGTGGCGGTGCATCTGAGGATAAATATTTAGACTGGTTCTTTTATTTTTAAAACTTTCCTACAGGCAAGTGTTAATTTTTCTTTAAAACAAACCAAAAATGACTTTATATTTTTCTCATTAACTTCAAAGTCTAGACATAATTTACCTTCATTTAATAACATCTCATTAAATAATCTTATTTGAAAATCCATTAAGATATAATTTTCTTGTAGTTGTTTCTGTTTTTTCTGTATTTTCCACATATCTAGGTTATTAAAAATAGATACCTACAACACCAAGACATGTTTGAGACAACCATTAGTTTATGTTATTTATTTTTAAACATCCATAAAGTTTTGAACTACCCTGGAAAATGATGCTTTGGCTGAAACGATATTTTTTATTCAGGTACTATTAGTTTTCATACGATCATTTCGGTTGTTTACATTGTTGGATAAGCGGAATATTCTTTATGTATTTATGAAAATGCGATGTGAGATCATCGTTAGAAATTGCGGAACGCGTTTGAAAATTGGAGAAATAAACTATGTTTTAAGGATAATAAACGTATCAGGGTTTTATGGATGTGTAACAATGTAATATTTCCTGTCATTTCCTTTGATGAATGATTTGAATAAAAAATAAGGACAATTATTTCTTCATAGATAAACGCTACGTTTTGTATCCGACCTTGAAAATATTTTTAAACATGACCCTGATGGTTTCTCTAAAAACTTATATCTCTCGCTTGTTGAGCCTCCAAAACGCCATTTAAAAGCGCGTTTCGCTTATACAAATATACACTGGATAAATATAGACGTTCGATTGACCTAGGTTAGTTTGGTTAACTTTTTTTTCCCATTTTTCGCACGTATATTGTTTTATTCTTAGATTAGATAAGAGATTATATTTTTTCATTTTATTACACTTGTTCATGATAAAAAAAATTCAAAAATATATTATAACCGCTGTAAAAGAAAATATCTCAAGTATGTAGTCAACGTAATAGTCTTCCTGATTCCACTAGAATACAGTTTCTTTTGTTCGTGATCGAATTTCAAACTGTTTCCCCCTAGTACGTATTTGCTCTCTCTTTCTTCGGCAATGCGTTGCGTGGGCGTGACGAAATCCAGATTCAGTGCCAAGGTCTCGATCGCCTCGCGATGTCGACCACAGACGACGGCCAGACAAGGAAGAGAAAAAGGGTTCCTTCATAGGATAGACGAAAAGAGATTTTTGGTCCCAGAATATCATCATCTCTCGCTGTTTTCCTGTTCCTTTCTCGTCTCTCCCACCACTTCCTGGCAAAAGCTTTGCAGACAACTATGACGTCACTGTATACTTTGGACATTCCTTCTCAACAATTTGTCTTATGCGACCATTCCATTTCACATTGAAGATTTAGACATTTTTATTAAATAGAAAAGATGAAATTGTTGAAGGAAAATAATTAAGTTGCAAGTAATTTAATGATACAATATATTTCATAACGTTAATGCTGAAACAAGGAAGACAATTTTAAAGAAGGTACAATAATGTATAAAATGTTAATTTAGTCATAATTGTAGTCTTACTTAAAAAGTATCAATCAGCACATAGCTAAACTATTAGAAATAATAATTAACAAATCCAAAAAGAAAGAATATTTGCGAATTAGATAAACTAAAGTTAGAAAGGTGCTAAAAGTATAAAAGTAGAACCATCGGGGTCAAAAGAGTTAGAGATACGCTTGATTGGGAACTGACAGTCGATGTTTTGTGTATTGTCTATATGTAAAAAGACTAATCACGAGCATCGTACAACATCTCTTTACTGATAGAGAAGTCAGGGGAGCCAAGAAGCGTACGCTTGATGTCTATATCGAATACAAGAAAATCTGAGCTGACAGTTTGTACACAAATTTGATACTCTGCATCCAAAGCGTTGTGATAAAATGAACAAACGATGATTGATTGAACAAAGACTTCACTGTAGCCCATAAGACATGATTAATTAATTGTCACGTGCAGTCCGAGCTATAGCGTACATTTAAAAAAATCGAGAATCTGATTCGATTAAAAACAGTCCAGTATCATAACATATGCTCAACCATCTCCTCGTCGGCTATTCAACATCGTCGGCTAGGCCCAACAAATTGAGGTGTCTTTAATCGGAAGTGCCCAGTAAAGACATTCACTAGAACTTTAATGCTGCTACGAGTAAGTCCTAAGATATTTCCGGGTTTGACAGTGGTGATGTTTATTTATTTCACCAACTGCTGTCTCTGGCCTCACAAATGCTTTAGCGCTGCCCTCTCGTGCTAGCTCATCTACCGCTTCATTGTCGGCAACCCCAGAGTGATCTGAGACTCAGATCAGAGAAACTCTGTTGTCACAACTTAGTATGTTTGAAGTTCTTTTGCAGTCATTAACCAGAGCCGACAGCGTTTTCACGGCCTGCAACGCCTGGAGAGCGGTTTGACTGTCTCAGAAGAATCGTACTGTCATGTTCTTGACGCGTACTGTCGTGTCCCCCTGAAATACAGTACAGTCCCCAGGCTGTAAGTTTGCTTAATCCGAAGTGTCTGGCAGTATACTCCAACCCCAACCTCTTCTGGCGTTTTTGATCCATCTGTGAACATGCAAATATCTGCCTGAACCAGAAAATTTTCATTTTCATTCCAGAACTGCCGTTCACGCAGTACAGGGTGTCCCAATTTCGATGTCCGCATAGGCTATCTCCGAAACTAAAAGAGATAGAAAAAAAGTAGCTTACATGTCATGATCTCGTTTTTCGAGAAAATGCTAATGCTGAAAACTTCGAACAGCTATCGTCTTTTGTTTTCGCCCTATCGGCAAAAACTGAAAATTTTGCGAAAACGACAATCGCGAATATCTCACTTATTATCAAAGATGGAGTATTATAAATAAAACATTATATGGGCAACTTTTTACGAAGAATTCAGTGGCGTAGGTAGAATTTTTTTCCCATCTTTTATTTTCGAGATTTTAGACGTAACTTTATTTTTTTAAATGGAAACCATAGTTGGCTATGACCTAAAATAATTTGTTATTTTCTTCTGATAACAAATATATATAGTTTGTGGGGTATATTTCTTATAGTTATTGAATAATTAACAAAAATTCATTTTGTTCTATCTAAAACTAATGTATGTATTTAAAAGTTAATGTTGCTATGGTGATAACCATACATACTATGATGGAACATAATGTATCAAATAATTGCCAAAGTTTGTATTTAAAAATTCGATAACAACTCTGGCATTATGTGCTGGTACGATGCACCAGCATGTTAAGTGTCAAAGTATAACAAAACTGAATAAAACTTTACAATGAATTTCGAAAATTATGAAAAATGTAACATGATGGAATGCTATATGTTATCAGATAAGAATGCGACGTTAGCCGCGGAATTTTATTTCACAAGATATCCAGAAAGAAGACAACCGCACGTAAGAACCTTCAGCCGGTTAGCAGAAAATTTAATGGATATTTGGTCCTTCCCCAAACCACATACAAAAACATACCAAAATGACCTGCAAGAGAAATTGCAACAAGACGTCTCACCCAAAAGCCGCTGCTCCCGAATATGAAAGAAAAATAAGTATAAACCATACAAAGCGGGGCTAACTCATTATTTACGTACCGGAGATGTCAATCTAAGATTAAAATTTTGTAGATGATATTTAGAAAAATTAAATAATCTGCTGTTTGTTCAAAATGTCATCTGGACCGATGAAGTCTCTGAGTGTTCAAAGAAGATTGGGGTTCAATGTATGGTATGCCCTTTTAGATAATAGAGTTTTGGCATATAGTATCTACCATAAAAACTTAAACTCAGGGAAATACCTCAATATATTAAGGCAGCACATTGAGCCTTTTTAGAGGTATTAATGTCTATCATATAACCTCTAAAAACACAGAGAGTTATCTACCAGGCGTGGCAAATAGTGTGACGTAGAGTGCGAGCAACCAACCCGTAGTCGACTACAAAAATACAATGGATGTAGCAGTCCTGTTAGATTCTACTGTCCTTACTACAAACTTTGGCAATAATTGGAAACAATGCTTTCCCTCATGGTATGGTTATCACCATAACAACATTAAGTTTTAAATACATACAATAGTTTTAGAAAGAACAAAAAAAATTGATACATTATATTCCATCATAGTATGTATGGTTATCACCATAGCAACGTTAACTTTTAAATACATACATTAGATTTAGATGGAACAAAATGAATTTTTGTTAATTATTCAATAACTATAAGAAATATACCCCACAAACTATATACAATGCGATCAAGAAAGCCGGTCCGCTAAAAACTACTTTCCCAAGTGCTTGATACCAATAGTTACTGCCCTCGTCACAGTGGTCACACCCTCCGTCCACTTGTTTTAATAGTGGTGGGGAAATGGGAGGAAACTTTTAGTTTAGTAAACATAACCTTAAAAACTCACACGCACAAAATTAAAAAAGTTACTCTCGTTAAACAAGATTCGAAATAAATTTTCTCTGGAGTTAGATTGGTGGATGTAAATTTAAATTATGATGAAAATATTTAAAAAGGATTAATTAAAAAAAGAAAACCCTTTAAACTATTCTTTTGTAATTAATTTATTTCATAAATCACAAAAAGATCTTTTATTTTATTATAAAAATAAAGGTTTAGAAGTTTTATTTATTATATTCAAAATTTCAAAATGTTGACCATTCTAAACATAAAGTGATTCT